GCCTTCGGGGGCGGGGCCGAGGCTTGACTGGCGGCTGCGCGGCCCAACGAGAGCGCGAGGAAGGCGGGGCTGAGCTTGACGGACAGGAGGCGGGGAGGAGGCGGGGCCGCTGTGACAGACAGCCCTTTGCACCAATCGGCTGCGGGGGCGGGGCTCTAAGCTGACCCTCCTCCGGCCGGGATGGGCGGGCCGAGCTCGAGGGGCGTCACCGACGGCTGGGATAGGAAGGCGGGATTAACTTGAGCGACGTCGCCGTGACCCAATGACAATGGAGGGCGGCAGGACGCGCGTCCCCGCTGGCCAATAGCAGGCGCGGGGCGGGTGAGGGAGGCGGGCGGTTCCCTGAGGCGGAGCGGCAGGGGAGGGCCCCGCGCCCCCTCAGCTGAGCGCGGGCCCCGCGGACCGGGGGATGCGCCGGGATCTGCGGTAGGTGACGGGCAACCAGGGGGGTGTCCGCCTCCGGGACCTCCGGCACGGCCGGGGAAGCGGGGCCTGGCGGGACAAGGCCGTGAGGCCGGGGGAGGGCCCGAGGTTGTGTATACAAAGCCGTGTTTAAATGGGGTTTTAAGCCGGGCCTACCGCAGTATTTCTTTGGAAGTGTTAAATTACCCATACGATCGGAAGAGGCTCTAAAACGGTATTTAATCGAACTGGGGTTCTGCTTAGTGTGGTTTCACCCTAATACCAATTTCAGGACTTTTGTAGGCGATGTGCAAGGTTTAAATCTAAATGTGTAGGTTCATGTTATTACTTCTGAGCTGTCATGTGTAAGTTGCCCTCCTCTTTATTTTTTTCTTCTAAACAGGACAGTATTAGCTATCATAATATCCTCGTTGTGCAGATCATCCCACCAAGGTCAGTGATGCTCCATGGATAGTTTCTCCTCACTGAAAATACTCACTCTCTAATTATGTCGGTCCTTTAACAAGAGTCAAGAGCTTTTTTATTTTCACGCTCTGACATCCCATCAGTGTTGTCACTGCAGAGCCAGCTCAGACCTGTGGCACAGCTGCCTCCTTTTCCCAGTGTCACCCAGCTTGCTGGGATAGCTGGGCTCCAGCAAAGAAGCTGCCCATCATCTTTGTATCATCATGAGACCATCAAATGCTCCATGTAATCAAACCCTGCATTGTTATGTCGGCTCTATATCCAGCTCTCAGCCTTCAAGATCTGGTAGCTTTCTTTACTTGGACTCTTAGATCTCAGAAGTACACTTGGATTTTCTTGGGTTTTCATCTGAAAATGCCTCTCAAGCTGACTGGAGCCTTGCAGTCCTGCCCAGTCTGCAGTAACGTCCATTAGGTCAGAGAAAGGCAATGTAACTTCTTCCCATGCTGAATTTTCTGCCTGTTTTTTCCAGTTGTTGCAAAGTGGTGCTTAGCAAACTGAACGTATTTTCAAGTGAACAACCTTCAAATTGAGTAGCCCCACGTAATACATCTTCAGCAGCTTTGTGTTTCTTTCAGAGACAGGTGATAGCACCTTCTTTGAGGATCTGATAACCTGATACTTCTAAGAGTGTTGAGTTTCTTTTTTCCTTTCAGACCCAAGTTTCCAGTCTGTTTCTGTTTGGTTTCTGCTTTCTCCAGTTTGCTAATAAGAGTCTCCTTCTTGTAGTGTTTGTAGCATTGATTTCCAGAACTGCTTTTGAAAAGCATTCTCATGAAGAGAATGTTGAAGCTTCATTTCAGATCCTGACTCCTCACTTTAGCTACAGACTTGCACTTGAGAATATTGCAAGTGTCTTCGTCATACTGTAAATGCTTTAGGCCAGACACAGTAATTGTTCTGTAATCCCCTGCCAGCTGGTCTAGGTTTGTTTCTGTAACAAGAGCAAAACAATGCTATCTAACCCTCCTGCAATTTTTTTGTCCCCTTGACTCTTGAGTGCTGCTTCTGAGTTTCCCCTCTTCCCCAACAAAGAGAAGGGTGGGGGGTCTTGGTTCCCCCTGTCAGGGACTGGCTTTAACCAGACCCTTTGGTGATCTGAGCAGAACTGGGACTGTGAAAAGCAAAACTACAAAATCCTGCTTTAAACTTCCTTTTTTTTTTCTAGTTCAGCTCAGGGAACTGGCCTGATTTGGACACAAGTGTCAGTCCAAAAACAAAGAGGGGATGCACTGACTGCAACTCCAGTTTAGATTATTTTAGGCAAAACTGGATCTTCTTACAAGAAACCATACTAAATCAAATCCATTCAAACTTCAAACCCAGACTGAACAAAATAGTAGATCAGTTTGTTGAACTGTGTGTCAGAAGATGCAGATTTAAACTGTAGGATGATTTCAGTGATGTACAAAATTGTCATCTCATAACCAGCTGAGACAGCAACTTTTATTTCCCTCTTTCCAGCAGCAAATCTTATCTGAGCACAGAATTTGTTCAACTTCCTAATCTGGCAAAAAACTATTCCTAGTATATAAAACCCAAAAAGGGTGGCAGTAGATTGCTGCTGGTTGGGTGAGCTCAGCAGCACAGCCAGGGATGCTGTGTGCCTCGCTGCTAACACAGGAGCAGCAGCAGCTCTGGGGGCACAGAGGGGAAGCAGCTCTCGTCCTTCCCTCAGCATCTGGTGCTGAGGATTCAGTGCTGCAGAGCACAACATCACACTTGCAGTAATTCAGATATTTCTCTAGTCTGGAACAAATCAAAGCTCATTTTCTTATTTCAGGTGAAAGACTATTTGTGTTCTAAAGGGAATCAGTAAAAATTTTCACTCAAATTTTTAAAATAATTAAAATACCTATTTCAGCACCATTTCACTGATAAAATTTGTTCATTTTTGTAGCATGAAATCTAGAGAACGATCACAGTCCTTCACACTTCTGTTTTTTACACTTGGAGTGAAAGGCTTGTGGCAGATGCAGTGGTACAAACTATCCAGTTAGGAATAAAAAACTTCACTTTCATGACTGCAGCGGCAGATGCATTTGTCTTCTTTTTCTTTTGTCATGACTACAGAGAAATTGAAATATCCTACCCAGCCAATAAACCTGTCAGCCAGTGCCTGAAATACTTGAGACACCTGCCAAAAAGCAAACGTTATCTGTAGCTTTCAGTAATTCCAAGATTGCTGGCTGACAGAAAGCTGGGCAGTGCCCACCGCCCCGCTCACTCCAGCTGCAGCTCTGCAAACTGCAGGATCCCTCCGGGCGTTTCTGCGCTCCTTTGTGCTGGTTCACCTTTTACTGTGGTTATTTTGGTACAGAGAACTGCTGTGTTTTGTTTTCAAGTGTTAGCTACGAGTGCCTCAGTACTGGTGGAAGATGGATCTAAACATATTCTTAGCATTCAAAAATCCCTAAATGAATCTGACAGCTTGTTTGGGATTAAAGTGCAGTTTGTTTCACAGAACAAGTTTAGATTAAGGCACAGCTGACTTAAGGCACTCCAAGGCAGTGGTGGACTGGAGCAAACACTGTTCAGCTGAGCATGCTAATTATGGAAGTGCTAGGAAGCAGCATGTGGGTGAGGTTAGGAGTGGGAAAGCAAGAGCAAGGAATTGGTCTCCTTTATGGAATATGCAAATGGTGTAGTGCCACCTTTTGATGCCTTCCCTCCCTTTTTGTTTTGTTAGGTTGTTGCTGCCAGCGAAGGCCTTCCTCTCAAAGCTGTTTAAATGAGAATGTCCCTGGCGCAAAGAGTGCTGCTGACATGGCTTTTTACCTTGCTCTTCCTGATCATGCTGGTGCTGAAGTTGGATGAGAAAGCACCGTGGAACTGGTTCCTCATTTTCATTCCAGTGTGGATATTTGACACAATTCTTCTAGTTATGTTAATTGTCAAAATGGCCGGACGCTGCAAGTCTGGCTTCGACCCTCGCAACGGCTCCCAGAACATGAAGAAGAAAGCGTGGTACCTCATTGCAATGCTGCTGAAGCTGGCCTTCTGCCTCGCCCTGTGTGCCAAGCTGCAGCGCTTCACCACCATGAAACTGGCCTACGTGTTCATCCCGCTCTGGGCCTTGCTGCTTGGGGGCATGGTTGAACTGGGATACAATATCTTCTATGTACGAAGAGACTAGGCCATGCCAGGTGGTTTCCAGTGCCAAGATTGGCACCAAATTACTAGATTATTACCATTTTGCCACAAATCTGATCTTCAAACTAGACAGCCAAATGAGTCAAGCTGGAGACTTAAGCTAAAGCAGACTGAAGACTGAAAGTAGATGTTTCATTTTTTTATTTTAAAACTCACATATGCTCTTGTAAATAAAAGTATTTGTTCAACATAAGCTGTTCTAATATGATTACTGATATTTGTTACATGGAATAAGATACTGGTTCTTCACGTGCAGGTAGAAGACCTTGTCAAAGAAACCACAAATGTTCCACTCAGAGTATTCAGCACATGGAGTAGTCCTGGGAAAGAGGACTGACATTTTCTGCTACTTACACTCTAAGTCAAGAAATAACCAGTTAACAGTAATTTCCATAAGGAGCTAAATTTGCTTTAAAAATCAGTAGCAATTGACAGCAGCCAAATAAGAGCAAGAAAAGGAATAAAGCAATACACCTTTTTGTTTGTTTTGGACAGCGAGATTCCATTACCAGTGTAGAAATAAGCAGTTTTCTAAGCTGCTGAACAGCCCATAACCAGCATGTTAACCTTAGGGAACTTAGCTGGTGGCTGAGCTGTGCCAGCCATCCTGAGATCCAGAGAAGAGGGAGACAATGCTGATTCTTTTCCAGGTGAGAAATCACCAATGTTGCAAGAAACTGAAATACAGGTGAGTTCAGTACTGCATTTGTACCTGCCCACAGTGGTACTTGAACAAGACAGTTTTTAATACCTGAGGATATGAAATTTTTGGGCGTGAAGCCTTGGCTTCATGGAGCACTGGCAAACTCAGATGTGAGGAATGACCTTTTTCAGGTAACAGGTGCACAGGACTTCAGGGAAGAACTGGAACTACAAGTGTATTTTGTGGACTGAAGTGCTCTTGCAGGAGATCCAGGAACACCAAATTGAAATGTAGCCGTTATCTGGGACATTATTAACATGCACACTGAAAGTACTGATCCATTTACACTTCCTAGAGACAAAAGAATGTCAAGTGAATGAAAAACAGTCCAGGGTAACAGGACATACCTACACAAGTGTCTCACTAATAAAATTTTAAGTACGTAAATTCAACTGTACTTGTCTGTGGAAAAAAAAAATCTTCCTGAAGTGTGTGGATTTCCTCTTGCTGTTTCATCACACAGACATGGGTAAAAACACAGAGGAACCATATTGTGGGAGACTGCTTAGAGCTTTATCTAAGAAAACAACATGTTCCATTCTAAGGCAATGAATCTCAATTCAGAATATCAGGTAACAAATTATCTATAAAATTAATTTAAGTCATATTTATTTCAGAGTGGTTGACTGTCCTACCTTGCTAAAGGAGAAGCCAGGAAAAGACAGAGACAAAAGAATTCTAAACAGTAGCTGTTGTTAAAAAAATGTAAAATATTTATAAACCCTTTATTTTTATTAAAACTCATCAGCTTTTACTAAGCCAACCCATGTACTCAGCCCCAAGGTATGGACACCAGGTCATTTATGGGGAGTGCCTAGGAGGAACAGCTGTTTGGAGGAGGTGCAGCTATGCATTGTGTAGTTCTGAAAAACACTTAATGGAAGGATCCTACTCCGTTTTTGAAACTTCTTGCCCATTCATGTGAGGTTCCCGTGGAGAACTGACTTCCCTCAGTCTTGAGTGATTTTTTGGGGAAAATTGGCACTTGTGATTAGGATGAGCTGTGGGGAGGGGTACATTAATCTCAGGACACGCTCTGAGACCTGCTGGCCACAGGTGTGTGGGGTGGGGAGAACAGGGTGCTGTGTGTGGGGAGAACAGGCTTCATCTGCACCTCCCAACTGGTTCTGTTCTGCAGATGGGAACCCAGGCCACGGAGGAATGGAATGCCACTCCATGGCAGGCAGTCCAGACCTTGTGCATTTGTTATGGCTGCTTTCAAAACTGATGAAGAGTATCTAAAGCCCTACCTCCAATTCAGGTAAACTTTGATGACCCACTTAACAAGCAGTGATACAAGTGTGTAACAAGCATTTAAGCACCTCAGGCAAGATTTTATCTGCACACACACACACACTTACCTGGAGTAGGTATGGGACGAAGCATAAAATAACACCCACAGTCCTTTCCCATCTGATGATTCTGGAAGAATAAAATTCCAAACCCCCTTGTTCAGAGGATGCCAGAACAGCCCCGTGCTGCTCAGGAAAGCAGAGCAGGTTTCCTCAGCTGAGCTGACCATGGTAATTGATTGTTACGATATAAAACAAAAGATGGAAGAATAAGAACTGGCTTCACTGACACTTGGTGTATTATTAGCAAGATGGGCCGTGAATGGTGACTCTGCCCCCTTAATAAACCCCTTCTCTTTCACAGATGTAACAATTATCTGAAAGTTTGGCATCTCTAATTAACTAGAATCACACACAGTCCTTACAAATCTCCTTGTAATTGTTGCCTGTAATTCAATAGAAAAAGATCAACAATTTCAGTTTTGGCTGTGGGTTTGGCTTTCTTTCTATTTTTTTTAAAAAAAAAAAAAAGGTTTACAAACCTTTAAATAAATTATTTGGAAAGCTGAAGCAAATGCTTCTTGCTGGTGTCATACAGAAGTCACACACAGCCAGACAGAAGTGCTCAATTTTCCAAGTTCCTTGTCCTTACAGGGGAACTTGGACAAGAGCATATCCCTTCTGAGAATTTTGTATCATATTTAACTGACCTGAACAGTGCTAAGATCTTAAGTGTTGCTTCTCTGCCTTGTCAGAACATCACTCAGAAGGATCTGTGGTACAAAGTAGACTATAGCCCACTCTGACCTTCCCAGAAACAGCTGCAGGAATTAATTACATCTGCTCATAATTACCTTGTTCTCAAAGGTGCTGATCACAGCCTGGAAAGGGAACCAATGCTCCTCACACGTTCTCCAAAATTTACCAACTGATCTTCAGTAACAAGATAAAACAAGTGAAAAGCAGATTTGCTGCAGGTGGCAGGGAAAAGGAGAGCTCCATGCTGAGGCTCACACTGATCTGTGATAAAAAGGCACAAGGGTGTTGTCTCAGCTCCCTGCAGCAGCTGATGGGGGGCAAAGGAGAGAACTTGGCCTTCGGGAGCTTTGTTTTAAACTGCAATTCAAAAGCTGGTTGAAACCAAATGGAAGTATTTCTCTGTACTGATGATACGTATTGGACATGGAGAGATACATTCCACATAATTTCTCTCTTTCCATCATTTATACAAGTTTGAACACTTCAGCATGCATTGCAGGTGAGTATCTGCTTTTGTCTGATTACAGAAAATCATTCACACACGTGTGTGAAACTGAAATTTTCAATTGCCAATTCTTACTGGTTTTCTTGGTTTGTCACCATTTTAGAACAGTACCCAGTTTTGTGTTCTTTTTATACTTGAAAAATGCAGTTATGTGACATGTGCATCCCCACCTACAACAAAGTTTAACCTGAATGCTCTGAGAACAAGTGCAGACACACACAAAATGCACAGCCAGGCACAGAGGGCAGTATGAAAGCCTGAACTAGCACAGGACGGGGTACACAACCATCTGAGAGATGTATTATCAGTATTACTTTCTGACACATCAGCATCATAGTGAAGAAGCAAAATGTTTTCCTAACCTCATGAAAATTTTCACATTTCCACAGTGTAAAAAGTTGGGTGACACAAAGTGGAATTGAAAATTAAAATTATGAGACTACTATAAACTCAGAATTTTAACATCAATATAATTTTGGGAAAAAATAACATGGCTCTTCAGTAATAAAGCTCCTGAATAACTGCATCCTCAGAAACAAGTTGTTTGAATTTACTAGCATGGAAAACATAGCACTATCATGTAACACATTATGCTTTTTTATTAGGATTGCAGTAAAAACAACTATGCTGACTTGTGAAAAGAACATTTGCACCTTTTCACTGTAACTTTACTGTTTTTTAGGTTTTGATGGAGTTAATCTCCCATAAGAGCCCTGTAGACCTGAATGGGCCTGGGTATCACCTTGCTGCTGAAAAGCATCGGGCTCTGAACTAAGGCAACTTACAGAATCTCTGCAGCTGGACCACTAGAGCACTGTTCAATATAAACTCTGCATTTTCTCCTTGGACTTGTATGAAGTGGGATAAAGAACAGGAAAATCTGCTACTCAGTGATGCCATCCCTCTGATCTGCCTTTCCTAACAAAACCAACATCTCAAGCAGAGAAATATAAGAAAAGTCTCCCTACAGTGCAGAACAGCCTAAGAGCAAGAAACAGGAAAGCAATGAGCATGTGAGCTTAGTTCATCCACCTTTATTTTTATCTCAGTGCTCCTTCTGAAGTTCATGAAAAAATCACAGCTTAAGACGGTTTTTAGTCTAAAAATTCCATTTTGGTGATTTGGTGATTAACTAAAACTCTCAATTGCATCAGTTCACACTGGCAAGTACCTGGGTGTTACTCCTGCATGCTAAGAATAAAGATTTAGCAGCCTTGACTTATGTTACATAGTCTCCCACACACAGGTCTAATTCTCAAGATTTTCATCTCCAGACACCAGGAATGGCTTTCTCTGCTAACTGCTCCACTTTGTCTCAACACAACCAGGTGAAAAAGCTCCCATAAAAAGCACAGTCCTTAGAACACAGGCCTGAGCTGCACCCAACATGGCACCATCATTCCAGTGATGGTGCAAATTAAATGATAAAACATAGTATCAAAATAGCTATTGAAAAATCAAACTTGATAAAAATAGAAGTTTAAACTGCTGTTTTAATCAATGTTTGTATCAGGTAACTGTACACCAAATATTAAAGGACTATTTAGGACTAACGCCCTCACCAGTAGGCTCATCTATCAGCATGACCAGAACAAGAGAAGATCAATGTTTAGGTGGCACTCAAGTACAGCACGGCTTCAAAGCAGAGATCATATCAGCATCAAAGCACAGAGAAAAACAGTGGTTAGAATATAATACACTAAATTTGCAGTCTCAGTATCCCTGATGATTCTAACAGAAACAGCAACCTAAATATTGTGAAGTTAATCACTGCTTCTGAACAGAACACAAAATAACTTGCATTTTAAGAAAAATTAAATGAGTGACTGATGGGAATCAGTCCCCCAAATATTCCCACATATGCTGCAAATTCAGTGGGATCTGCACAAAACATCAGTAACTTCTATACAATTTTAAAGTGCATTTCATCTGTTTAAGAAAGTAATATCAGCTGAACACAGTGACTCATAATCAAATCAAACATTCTAGACAGTCATTCACAGCAAAGCACAAAGCAGTGAAAACTTGTCTTTTCCATTTCCAGCTTGGATACATCCTGGTAAGGTACAGGCACTGTGCTGCCTAAACACAAGGCTCTCTACATACCTGACCACTACAAGAAAATAAATTAAATGACACTTGAGAAGCTTGAGGAGTTCTTTGATCTCTTGACCAGAATCAGCACAGCTTTCAGCCTAGCAGGGTCACGTGGCAGTGCAATATCTCACAACAGTTCATTCTGCCAATGAACAAGGAAAAATCATGGATTTATTTTGGTTCACATGCAGATATTAGGAAACAGTCATTTTGATAAATAAATACCAGTCTTGTGTTTCTTGGAAGACTTACTCAATTTTCCAAATCTGTAATGTTCAGATCACTTTCAAAGCATTCTACTATTTCAGATTTCCATTTCCTATATCTTTTGCAATTCCAACTTTATGTACTGTGCACATGTATATCCACTTAATAATCAACTTTATTTATCACCAAGGAATTATTTCACAGATGAAGAATTAAATCATCACCCTCTAAAATAATACTTTATTTCTAATACTAGATAGAGTTAATATCAGTTAAAGTAGTATTGAAATATCCGCTGTAATAACAAGGAAGGGAAAATCTGCATGCCAGCAGTACCTGTAATGAAAATGTTCTTTCAGAGTCAATTTTCAGGCATTTGGAGGGCTGGGGGTGACACAACACTGAGTAACACTTGTATGTAACACATGAAGTCAGTTGCCAGTGAAATGCAAAAGATCCAGTAATATTAAAAAAAAAAAAAAAAGTAGCTACCCCCTTGAAAGCGTTTTTAGCAACTGTAACAATGCAATTCTTTGCTACCCAAAAATATGTACCAGGATCTAGGAAAATGTCTAATTTTCTGCACATCTTGTTATTAACTGGAACACCACTGCATGTGCAGGGAGATAGGAGCAGCACCAATGGCCTCGGGCAGCTCTCTCCAATCTGCACAAGAACAAGGGCCAAGAGAGACAACTAAAACACTGGAGATTTCAGCCAAAATGAAAGATTTATATATCACCAAAATCCAGAGAAGGGGTAAAAGCAATAAGCAAGGACTAACTTCAGTACAGCAGAACACATGAAAGATTTATTGCTGAAGCAAAAGTCTGAAGAAGCAGTTGTATGCAGCAGGAATAAAAGCTATATAGCACATGACTGAAGCAAGGCCTTTGTCAGATTAATGAACAATTTGGGAGGTGAAATTCTCAGAAAAAGTACTCCCCTCTCAAAGGACAACCTCATTAAAATGAACATACCACTGCGAGAGGACATTTCTTTTAAATCTTTCCTTTAAAAAGCAAGTAAAAAGTAAAGAGTAATGCAGCCAGACAGCCCAGACTGCAGACATCTGTAAATGCAAAGGGAGGTCTGGTAGCCATTGAAAATCCCAATATGGTTCAAATTCTGTCTGCAAGGAATTCTGCCTAAAGTGAGAACCTAGTCTGTCTCAAAAAACCAAAAGAATAAATAAAAACTGCAAAAAAACCTGCCACTTTAAACATCTCTTAAAATTCTGAAAGTGGTAAGAAAAGAATGGGTTGAATATGTGGGCACTTCAGAAGAAAAATCTCAGGACTAAGATACCTGAGCAGAAGTTCAAGACCACATCAGCCAAGACCACTGAGCAGGTCTCCAAAAGGAAACAAAGTTCTACTCAGAAGTGTAAAGTTGTATTTGCTCATCATTTTCAAAGATGTATTATTTCTGTCTGGACAGGGCCTATGCTGCAGAAAGCTGGCAGCTGTCCTGGGGATGTATGTCCACACTGCAATAAAATCTGACCCGTTACCAAAAATGACTTGAACCCGAACAGTTGGCGTATGCATGACCAGCACTTTGCTAAGATTGTTATTCTCAATCTACTAAATAGTTTTGGGAGTTTGTTTTGTGTGGTTTTTGTTTTAAAAAGCAGTATCTGGCAAGGCTGGTTTGGCTGAAGCTGGAGCCCTCATCTATCCCCCCTGCAGAGCTGCGTGCTTGGTGCAAGCTACAACCTGCAGCTCTGCTCTGTTGCTGCTGTCCCACGGGCAGCACAGAGAACAGGAATGGCCAAGTAACTGTAGATGGATGTTCATGAAGCCAGAGATTACAGGTGGAAGCATTATTTCCAGAAAATCCAGAAACAATAAAGGGAGCTGAGACCACATTTCTGCTACAAGGAAGGCTCAAATTCTTACATGAACAAATTAATTTTTTCACATCAGAATCTGCTAGAGCAATAACATACCACATCACACATGAATCATTTGCTCACAGCAAAGGGGAAAGAAAGATCCCTGAGGCTGGAAAACTAGTAGTAATCTCTCAGCCAGCATTAAAGAAAACAGTAGTAAGACTTAAGGACGTATTAGTCACATCCAAGAGACTCACATTTCTATTGCTTCTCTAATACATATTTATGGCTATCTAGGAGTAATGTTTAGCAATTCAAATATTGATTTAATTAATAATTTCTTGACAAACATATTTTGGATTAAACCAATCAGGGCACTCATCCAATAAATAGCTGATTTTAGTGCCACCTGTGACTATGCAGTAAAGTTTTAAATTTTAACAACCTATAAGGAAAAAAGCATTTAGAACAGAAGGACCTCAGGTAGATGAACTGGACATTGCCTGAAAAATCACATTTTTCTATTGCTACAAATGAAGCCAAAATGACCACTAATTGCACCAAAGTTTATAAACTGGGTACTTAAGGATGTACAACTTTCAAAAATGTTATACAGAAAATTCCTAACAAAAATCAGAGATACATAGGGCTTTGGAAATAATAGGCCTTGGATCTGAAGTTTGACATATTTAGCTGAAGGACAGGCTGTAGGGCAGCTCACTGCTGTGTGCAGCTATCCAGGAGACACGTATCATTTGGCTGTGTTTGAACTACACAGGAGAACAATACACAAAGAATAAATAGGTGAAATAACAGAGTTACCAGATCAGATGCTAGCTAGCCTTGAAATTCTTTT